AAGCTGATGACACACCAATGGAGTTGTTAAACATAAGGGATTTTCTCTTTTATGTAGGGATACATTTCTTTGGTTGTAAAATTTTGTAACAATTCTGTGCACATTTTCAGCAATGCGTTAGAGAGGTTTGCAATAGCACCATGTCAGAGTTTCTCTTTTTTGAGTATGTGTGGTGCTGAAAAGAACCGGCACAATTATGTGGTCCTCTCCCATAAAATAGGAATGAAATCACATGGTACAGGTGCTCTGCTGTTTCCTTGAAGATCACAGTTATTTCTAATGAAATTAACTGTTGATGATCCAACTTCAGCCAAATGCAAGAACTAACTGTAACCATGAGCAGTCTTCAACAGACCATTTTGTCCTATGCTGATACCATATCCAGAGGGTTGCACATCAACAAATAGGAAGGTCTTTTGTAGTGTTCCTTGACCCTCCTATGCTGAAACCACTCTTTGGGTCACTTGGTAAACACCTCAAAGAAGCACAGCTGTGTTGTGTTGTGCACTGCACTAACTGTCCCTCACAGGAATATCAGATTGCACTTTTGTGCTGCCCAACAATTGTGCTTCACTGTTTCATGTGCATAATTGTGCAGTAAACCGAATGCAGTGAAGAAGACTGCACAAAAGACCCTGGGTCATTTTTTGCTGGTAACCAACTGCGTACACAATGAACCTGTGCATGTTTGTGTTCCATATAGAAAACACATGCAAGAGAGTGACTGTGGGCACTCGTGCATATTTGTGCTGTACAACCAAAGGAGGGTTAATGGAAAAATTGCAAACCTTTGTTGTTTTATTTAATGGTTATTTTTCCTCCCAAGTATTCTACAAAGAAAGAACTCTTCATTGCTTTGTAAGGAGAGAGAATCAGTGCGAATGACTATTGAAATATGTCAACATCAATCCATTGGCTGCATCCAGTTGAGATTTACACTGACCGTCTCAAACTGACCACGTTTCCCAACAACACAGCACATGAAGACAGAAGCAGCTGCCCTAGAAGCTCTGAAGAACCTGCACAACTTGGACTTCTATGGGAACAAGCTAGTAGTGATGCAGTCGACCAGCAGGGTGCACAAGATGCCGGGTATTGGCAGCAAAGGAGAATGCTTCCAGTGTGGCAACAGAGGTCATCTGTCCAGAGAGTGTACAGAAGGAGGGTAGGCAATGCTTCACTGAAGAAAAGGGACATGCAATCAGTCCTTGGTGATTTTTAAATTACAAGAATGTGGAAAAGAGCACTGGGAGAATTTTTTTGGCTTGCAATTGTATACAAAGTGGAGCGCTTTGTCTCCATTGGTAATCCGCTCGCGCTGAATGCAGCAAACAGTGTTATAATCATTCCAAACAATGATGGATTTCCTCCGCTATTGAAAACTGAAAAAAAGTGGGCAATTCCCAGCAGCTTGGTCTTTGGTTCCGAGGAGAGTCTTTTGTTGCAAGGCCCAGCTCCTTTGTCCGATTTCAGGCACCCCGGCTATGTGTACAAAACCCAAGGTACCTGAAACTGGGCTCCGCAGCAGCAAGTGATTAATCCTTGGATGTTAAACTCGGGGCCTCTTGGATAATTCCACACATCACAGGGCAACCTGTAAATGTTACCAAGATAATTTGGATGTTGATTCATAGCCAAATAAATGAACACATTATTGGAGTGGAACGTTGTGTTACCCATCCCCACAATGGCCTGTTTTTCACTGTTTCATTGAAGAACTTAATGTAGAATTGTTGACACGTATGGTTGTGATGAAATCCTTGACTAGCTATTACCACCTTCTGATTTGGAAACTGTGATTGCATAAGGTTTCTGAACCATGTGTCAGTTACAATCCCAGTTATTATCTGCTACCTGTCAAGGCGCAGTCAGCTGCATGTATCTTATTTATTTCATGTATTCCTTTGTGTTCAGTTTATTTCACATAATCACTCTGAGCAAGGTAAAGTTATCCTTTTGTGACAATGACATCAAAGTTAAAGAATTTTCCATGTCACGGTATAATTTGATCACCTTTCATGAAATGAAATTATGAAACTCAACCATTGTGTGACTTGTAGCCAGCTGTGCTATTTAGGAGTTGGATCTCTTCAGGGATTTTGCCATAGTACAGTGCAGGCTTCTTGAAGCCATAAGGGCTTAATAAAGTAACTAATTGATGGGTATTACCAATTTTGTTGGTAGTGTAAATAGTTCCGTGCAATTGAACTATCCCACAGATACAACGACCGTCCCTCCAGAGGTCGTGGCCGGGGTCGCGGTGCACCCAGCCGAGGCGGTGGTTACCCCCCTTCCCGGACGGGTGCAGTAGGAGCCGCTGGGAGGTCATACAACGGGTACAGCAGTAACTCGTCTGCATCCTACGACCCTTACTACGATTACCCGCCCCCAAGGAGACCACTGCCCCCAGCTGATGACTATTACGGCAGAGAGAGTGGCAGCAGACGATATGCTGAAGACTACCTACCAAGGTGAGATGCGACTACATGCGCAAGTTACCTGCTGACAGGCTGTGTTGCTACATGGGATGTGCAGTTTATGTAATGATGCTGAGAAGCACCGTATTGCTATCGCGCTGCTCACTCACTGAGCCAGCAAGTTACTCATATGAGCCGGAGTTGTCTGCGTACCCTCTCTAGACAAATCCAGGCGAGTGATCATGGAGAGGCATCAAGCGGGTAGCCATGCAAGGGGGAACTCTTTGAGCACACACTGCTCACACATTTAGAGCTGACTCCATCAGGCCTTGCCCTTAACTTTCCAATGTGCTGTGCAAACTGGTAATGGTTACTTGTAAAAATGTCAGGATATTGTAGCCAAGGGCACAGGCGCCAACTGGATTATGTGATTAATTATCTATTAAAAGCACAGTTTTATAAGAATGTTTTTAGAAGGTATCTTGGTGGTGGTGGTGATATGTACAGTTCGTAGTTCATTTTTCAAGTGCAGTAGAGGAAATTCATCAAGCCATTTACTCTGGAGGTTTGTCGTGTTAAGGGTGAAGTAGACCAGTGCTTACACATGTAAAATAATTGACGATATAAAGGAGCCAGCAAGCAGCATAGCATCTACCATTCAGGTACTGCAGAAATGATGGCAAAGATTGTCTGGAACTGCTCATTGATGGTGATTACATTTGCTTGTGTTCAGGCGAGCTGTACCCCGTGACTATGTAACTGTACCCCGTGAGTACGCTTACCCCCTGAGAGCCAGGAGCAGAAGCCCACCGCCAGGCTACAGACGACGACTGTCACCAGGAAGGTAAGGCCCTCCAGTGTAATTGTGTCGGCTGGACTGCAATCTGGAAAGTAGACAAAGTAGTCATGCGGCATGCCAATATGCAACAACAGCTGGTATCCATTTGGGGGGGAGGTCTTTGCATTTTTTTGGGGGGGGGGAGGTTTTAAACTTCTGTGTCTGCGGTTACAAACTGAAAACCCTAAAGTCTCATGCAAGAATTTTGCCAGCCTTCCAGTTGCATGCTTGTGTGTGCCCACTTATAGCAGTGCAAGGATGCACAGCAGCAAAGATGCTGAAGCACTATCATTTTCACCATTTAGAGGACATTGGCAACAGGCTGCTGAGATGTCACCTAGACCTAAAATGACCGTGTAATGTTTTATATGTGTTTTAAATGTTTTGTTACTTCAACTCTAATACCAGTATTCCCCGTGAAGAAAACTGACTGCACATTGCTTGTACTGAAACTGTAAAGAACTGTTGAGGAGCTTGAAGTTTCGGAAAGACTTAAAAGTTTTCCATAAACAAATCAGATCATGCAAAAGTTTCAGTGAAAACTTGTAGCTTGCTTGTGTGAAATGGGCGAATATTATATCATGTGAAATGGGCGAATATTATATCATGTGAAATGGGCGAATTTTATATCATGGTAATGATGAAGAAACTTTGACATTTTGCTACTACAACCATCTGAGTGTGTGGACAGTGATTTTCAAAGCTCTCTGAACCATGAAATGGCAGTGCCTGCTGCCATGTGGTATTGTAGTCAAGACACTTGAAAAAAAATGTGTACACCAGTGAGTAATCAGAACGTTTCATGTGTATTATTTGTCTCTCATATACTCTTGAAAAGTACTGAACAATGGAATGTGGTGCTGAAGGTTGACCTTGTGTACAAGCGTTGACAGGGGCTTTTCAGGTGGCGAAAACATTTTCCTTTTCATTTCAGATTCTATTAGAATTCCTTTTTTCTAGTGGGATTAGTCCTTCAATTGCATAATAACTTTGCAAGATGGTACATAAAAAATTCCTAGATGTCTTCGGCTGTCTGCATAACCATATCTGAACTTAGGAAACAACCCTTACTGGTAACTCAATTGTCTCCTAGCCGGAAAGAGCCATTTGGCTTAACCCTAACACTCCTCAGTCCTCCAACAGGTGAAGAATTGAGGAGGGTTAGGGTTAACCCTAACGATCCCCAACCAGCCAAACTCCAACTAATTGTATGCACAGTTTTCTACATGGTGTTGGGTCATGTAAGGGATGGGAAGGTTCCTGCTAAATCACACTGGGGAGTCAGGGTTAATCCTAGTTCTGCCATATCTCTTCCATGCAGAGATGAATACGACCGCTATTACGAGCGTCTGCCTCCTAGGGATGCATACGACTACCTGCCACCGAGACGGTAAGTGCAATCACCAGTTGTGAGTTGTCTTGTTTACCCCCCAACACCCAAGGCATGTGCAGTTGAAACCTTTTTTGGAGTCCTCAAAAAATGACTTCAACAGTGGAAGGAGCCATCAGTCCTTTCTTAGTAGCCTGAGTTCTTTGTCATACGTCAACACGAGATCTACCGAGCTACACTGCACAGATGTTACCTACCTTGAAGTTGCCTGCCAATCATTCTAACAATTGATATAAAAGTGCATACTTCTCTAGTAAAGTTTGTTCTGTGTGCACGTTCTTTTGAATGCTGTTTTGCTTTATGCTCCAGGATAACGTTTAGTTTACAATGATGCACACTGTCACTGTCAAAATGCAGGTCCATGGCAGTAAATAAGCTCTCTCTTCCAGAAATGTACCATCTACTTGACATGACAGTCAGGTTTAGTTGGGATAGATCAGGCATGCAACTTTTTTCCTTGGATCCGCTGATTTCCTCACGTTGTACTTGTCCTGTATGCTGCTACAAAATGAAAAGCACTCATAAGTGGTTTGGCAAATCCTCCTTTATCTTCTGAATTGGCAGTTGAATGCCTGAGTGATTATTGCACAGCATGTCATTTCAGTCATCAGGCATAATTTTCTTGACAGTTCCCATGTTCTTTAGTCGATGATTGCTCTAACGCTGTTTTGTTCTTGTTCTGTTTGGTCGCGTTCCTCTGTACAGCTCTTTGCCGCCCCTGCCATCGTCCGCTGTGCCGCCGGCTCGACGCCTCCCGCCGGTGCAATATTAAGGCCGCCGTGTCTTGACGTCCAAGAATAAGGGCGTTTTTGTCGTCAGCCCGCGTTGTGGAACAGTCGGAACTGAGCTAGAATCGTGTTACGTGACAGATTTTTTTTATAAATCGCAGTTACTTGATGTGTGTCTGCGCATGTATGTTACATATTATTCTTAAGCACGGACCTTATTTTTATTCTGTCGTGTCGTAAAAGCACGGATAATCTGTTGGACTGGTTACTTTTGGTGTGTTTACAGTAACCGACCCTCACAAGCAATGAACTTTAAGCCGGCAGTTCACTATGGCTTCGCTGTTTGCAAAAATTTGAAGTACGACACTGTTATGAAGACAGAGATGGTCGCTCTCTTGATCACGAAAATTATCAGAACATGAAAGATGTGTTTTTCATTGCTCTCGTGGTAACGATTGGACAGAATGTTACATTCCAATTGTTGTCGGCTCTTTCAGTGTAATTTCTTGCTTAAGTATACTTTGTTAGAGATAGAGGTTTCTCAACCCAATGCAGGGTAATCTTTGTGACAGAATGCATGACTGGTTATCTGCTGAACGCATACATGTATTTTGCGTCATTGCAGAGACTGTAATAGGTTGTCAATTTCGACCGGCTCTGTCAATTTATCAACTTGAGGGTGATTAGAAAGGCAGGACGAATGCCTGAACACGTCTGCGCCACGTGTGTGCGCTTGTTACAAACCAGATTCACCGGAAACGGAGCCTTTGTCATCAAAGGCTCCTGCGTTGGTTGACCCATTCTGCCTAATCAGTTACAAATCACTAACTGTTTTCTTACTTGTGTCTGTTGGCTTGTGGCACCCCTTCGCTCTCAATTAAGGGTCTGTGTGTTGACCTACTGCCTACTTTAGATCAAAGCTTCAACCGTTTTGAAATTTCATCTGGAATGTTTTAAAAAAAGTAGTTTTAGGGACTTGTAAAAAAAGAACTAGTCATTCTTGTGATTTTTAGCCACATCTCCAAAAAAGTTGATGTTTAGGTATGCATGTCGATACATCTTGGGTAGGGTTTAACATGCATGTAATCAAGGCAAGTTCCATACTTAACTCTCCTTTGGTTTTACAGCACAAATGTGCACAAATGCCCACAGTCACTGGTGAGCATGTATTTTCTATTTGGAACTCAAACATGCACAGGA